TGAGGACTGGTGGCAATGTTGGCCAGTTCAGCGAGCCAGTTGGTGCTAGGGGAGCAGCTGAGCTCCTGGTGAGACACTCCTGCTCCGACCTGAAATAACCCTGGAGCCCTCTGGTCCTCCTCCACCTCCTGCAGCTCTGGCATGTCATCTAAAGAGAGGTCAGCAGTAATATTCATTATAAACCTGAAAAAAATAAAATATAGAATGTGACTTCTTGCTGGTGCAGCGTTTTACCATAATCCATGTGGCACCCAGGTGAGGAAGGCAGGTCTTCGTTACACTTGAGTGGATCAAAAGACTCGTCCATTCCCACAATTTCCTGTCCTTTCCCCTCTTTTCTCTTTGCCTATTTAAAAAAAAAAACCTGGCCTCCAGTCCGTTTACTCAGCATCCATCATCATGTTCTGCCACGTCGGCTGGTTTTAGACAAATAAAAAGACAAAATTAGAGCTTTCATAGACAAAGCGTTGTACTAAAGCCATTTAAGAGGAAAAATATCTGAGATATGAGACTCAAGTGGTAATATTAGGGGAACAAAGTTGCAAATTTACAAGAATTATATCATAGTTTTAGGTTTTGTGTCATTATGGAGGGAAATATATCAGCCTGTTGCCTGTGTTAAAAAAAGACTGTTATACTTTAGTGTAGGTTAAGTTATACTTCAGTGTAGGTTTCACAAATAAGAAAATATGTCATCTATTATCACATCAGAACCAAATTATAAGTAGCAGGACCTTGAAAAGATTGTGTAAGTGTCTAATTTGAAGAAAGATACACAGACTTGGAGGAAGTTGCCTCTTTACTGGAGGAGGAAATATTTGGTAGTGATCGATTGTTATGTTGTTATTGTGTTATTGTGATTGGCTGACCACGAACACCGCTACGTGCTTAATTGCTAAATAAAATTAAGTGTGAATATGTAGATGTTTTTGGTCGTAAAGTTAAGGTTTCATTGAGACAAGATGAAAGGATCCATTGAATAAAAACACTAACACAATAAACATTAACTGTCTGAGATTTGTAACAACACCAGATAAATAATGATGGGTGTAATCGCTACAATAGATGCCATGTATGGTATGGACATGATGGAAAAGACAGGCGGTGTGTGGGGACTCCTTTGTCTGTGAATCCACACAGTGGAGCTCTGTGGCTGGTCACGTGACTCGCTGCGTGGAGGCCTTGTTTATAAACTTGAGGGGATGTGGCGCATGCGCACCAGAGCTCATTCATTCATGGCTGCGTAGCTAAAGTGATGAATTTCAGGAATTCGTCTTGAAAAGTGTCGAGAGGACGTTCAAAACCGGCGAGAGGAGAAAAATACGAAGCGACATCGATGACATTTGTGTTCTTATATGAAAAGTGCTTCATGTTTGAAGACATGCAAAGTGAAATAAACGGTGTAAAGTGTCAAATAAGCTGTGGCCTCTGGATTAGATCGTTTTTAAAAGAAGAACACACGGTTATTAGCGATCTGACGAGCGAACAAGCGCCGCTGCAGGTTCGGACAAACCGTCGCTTGTTCTTCGTAAAGGCGGATTCGCTTGAAACACGTCGAGAATAAAATGTTCTAAAAGTGTAATCGTGCTTTAAAGTGCACGGTGTCGTAGTTTAAAGTCGGGGCCTGCTGTCCCCCCCTGTCCTCCTCCACAGCAGCACAGTCCTCGGCTCAGACCCACAGGCCGTGGCTCTAACACTGTAAACAAAAGAATGTCAACAAGTTGAGGCATGACGCAACCTCTGAGCTCCGTTCAAAATGAATGACACCGAAGCCTCCGCGAGCTATTTCAACGACATTACGACACGATTCACAGAGGGTCTCTCCGCTGGGTTCGCTGGTTTCAGTTCTCAGAACTGCTGTCGGGTGGGTTTGCTATCACCAAAACAACAAGCGTCACAGCGAGAGGAAAGAAAAAAAAACTGTCGAGCCCAACCTGTGATTCTACGTGGGATAAAAAGCGTGACAGCCCGGTTAAAATACAGCGTTAGACTCGTGGAGACGTGGATGACACGATGCTAACGTTAAAAACGAGTTTCAACGGCTTATTTCTTCGGAAAAAAGTCAAGAAGTTCCCACTTACCAGACCTGTCGCCATCAAAAAACTCTCTGGCATTCACTCGATGGGTGGGAATGAATGTCTCCAGAGGAAGATCCCTATTGGTGGGCAGGAACGTCAATAAAGACAATTCTGGTATTCTATTGGTTAACGCCGTTGAGAAAAACACAGAAGGCGGGGCCACGTTTGTTACTCATCGCGTCATTGGATGAAAGTGCATGCCTGTTACTGCCCAGTAACAGCTGATTGGCAATAACAGGAACAATACATGTTATTTTTCATCTGCAATGTTGCAACTAAAGCAAAAAAGAACTTGGACAGATGTCTGTCAGATGTAGATTCTAATGCTTCTTTCTATCGTGATTCAATCGTTTCAACTGTTGAACTACAAGATCTAGTGCATGGACAAAAGAATGGCTATGAATGAAAAATGAATGAATGGTGAAGGATTGAGTGAATGAACATCTGTGAACTGGTGGTATTTCCTCTATTATATTTTATATGTTATGTCCTGCCAGGATGAAATTAAAGCTCATCGCTAAAAACATTCTGCACATGAATGATTGGAAGTCTGAGGTGATTATAATTACACCCCCTGGCCGCAGTGCTGTGCCATATTAACCAATGTCTGTAAAGACACCCATAAGTAACCCTGGAGTTATTTATGATTCTGAGCTGTGTTTTGATGCTCGAGTGACCAAAGCGGTGCAATCCTGCTTTGCCCAACAGCTTAACCAAAATTACATCATTCCTTTCTTTTACAGACTTGTCATCCATGCTTATATCTCATTCTGACTTGATTACTACAAGCGAAACCTACAAAGATTACAACTTGTACAAAACAGGTTTAAGAATTAATTTTAAGATATTACAGCTTGTTTTTAAAGCCTTGAACGGTCAGGCTGGTGCCTATATCTGCGATCTGCTAACCCTAATGACCGCTGCCTGAGATCCTCCAGCAGGGCTCTACTAACTTTATGTTCATCCTACCTGGTTTATCTGCGATGTAGATGTTGTAGTAGTTTTTCAGTCGAATTTGCTTTATTGCTGTTCTTATGCATTGCTTATGTATAAGTTTGAATGATTCAGTCTGTTAAGCAAGTGGCACAATCTTCAGACCCCAGTTACCAACTTTTCAAAATAAAATCTCTGTAATTCTGCTTGATATAAAGCATTACAGCAACAAAACAAACATTGTGCTTTTGCTATGAAAACAACTTTCTAAACAGAAAGTGATTCAATGAATGTTGCTGTCATGATGGCGATCAGCCTCCATGAATGTCTGTCAGTCTGATATGGTGAAATAAAAAATGATACAGTTTGACCCAGCCAACCACTGCTCTAATTTTATCCGATGACATGGAAGGAGACACGTTTAACTCGGTCCACACATTGACATGTAGCACATTGCGCAACCCCCACTGACTGCTACAGAGCACTGGTCAACTGTTTATTACATTTGTATCAGTATCAAATGTATCATGTGTCAGAATCACCACTGCACTTCCTTGGGCCCATAACAATATCAACCACATCTTCATCCCCAACTCTATCTTTTTTAACCCCCCTCTCTCCCAATCAAGTTCTTACCCTAGTAACCTCTGCCAACCCTAACACCTGCTCTCTTGACCCCATCTCATCTCACATTCTCCAGTCAATAGCTCCTGACCTTCTTTCTTTTCTTACCCATCTTTTTAACACTTCCTTGTCATCTGGCTTGAAGAGGCAAGAGTGAACCCTCTCCTCAAGAAACCCACCCTCAACTCATCAGAAGTAAACAGCTGCAGACCTGTCTCTCTTCTTCTCTGTATACCAACTCTCTCAGCTCTGTTATTCACTCACATGGCCTTTCCTACCACAGCTACGCAGATGACACCCAACTAATTATTTTCCCCAGTCTGAAATACAGGTATCAGCATGAATCTCTGCCTGTCTGACTGACATCTCTCAGTGGATGTCCACACACCACTTAAAAATCAGCCTTAACAAGACGAAGCTACTTTTCCTTCCAAAGAAGGGCTCTCTCAAACATTACCTCACTATCACCATGTGTGACATTTGAACACTCTCCCTTACCGCCAACATTGCTGCAACAACCCACTCGTGTAGATACATGCTGCACAACATCAGGAGAATATGTCCCCTTCTCACTCAGAAGGCGGCACAGGCTCTGGTCCAAGCTCCGGTCAGCTCACGCCAAGACTACTGCAACTCCTTCCTGGCTGGTCTGCCTGCTAGGGCTATGCGACCTCTGCAACTCATCCAGAATGCAGCTGCTCGACTAGTCCAGACCTACCTAAGTTCACTGACACTACACCGCTACATCCTCCGCTCCCTTCACTGGTTAGCAGTGGCTGCCCGCATCTGCTTCAATATAATAGTTCTTGTGTACCGTGCTGTGAACGAATCGGGTCCAGTCTACATCCAGGACATGGTTAGACCCTACACCCCAGCCTGTCCACATCGCTCTGCATTGGCCAATCGGCTTGCTGCCCCCTCATAACTGTTTGCTGTCCTGGCTCCCAAATGGTGGAACAAGCTCCCCATTGACATCAGGACAGCAGAAAGTCTACACATCTTCCGCCACAGGCTAAAAACCCATCTCTCCAACTACACCTTGGCTAAGAGGATGGTCTTAGTCAAGTTGCACTTATATGTAGCACTTATAGTTTGGGCTATTTTGATGCTAATGTACTTACATGATTCTTGCTGTTTTGAGTTTGTACCCTGGAAGTTGCTTTAATAAAAAGCGTCAGCCAAATTATATGTAATAATAATGCAAAAATAACATGCCAATAGACAGGCCAAGTGTAAGGCCGAAAAAGATGAATTGTTTCTCTAGATATGTGAGCCACATACAGACAGACAATTGTGCAATTAGTAGGCAGATATTATTGTATCAAGAACAAATATGACACAAAAACTATATAAAAATGTCCTTTATTGTCATGAAAAGTGAAACATACAGTACTTTCATCCAGTATTATGGGTTCTGCCCTCAGAAATGACCAGTAGCCTACAACCTGCACAAAGGGGGGGAAATAAATTCATAATGTTTAAATGTTAAAGCAGCTTCAAACAGTTAAAGCTGCAGGAAAGCACAGACAAAATACAGACTAATTATTCATTTTAGAAGGAGAGAGAGGGAGTCAGAGAGACTTAGATTCTGTTGAAAGGGAACATCAGAATATGTGTTTCCATAAAGTAGAAGCTGTTGGCAGAGGTAGACAGCAATAATGAATGTCATAATTATAAATATATGTTTCACCAACACAAAAACAGACATTAAAACACAGGAAAATCAATTGTCTCAAGACATTGCCCATAATGGGTGCAGTCTAGTGGGGTAACCTATCAAATTAAAGGTGGGCCTGTACATCAACAGTAAATACTCAGTTTCAAATTGTATAGCAATGTGTTGTATATTCTTACAAAACTATCAGCTATCTCTCTGAAGATTCTTTTTGTTTTTTTGTTTATTTTCAAAAGGCTAACAGCCACAAACACTGTCCAACAATGATGTACATCTTATGAACACATATTTAAGGGATTAAATCTCATGATAAACAAAATGTGTTTTGTAAAAATGCTAAAGTAGTCTGCCAAGTCTACATTCTCTTGTGATCAAATATGTGAAAGAAGCTATTCAAACACAGAATCAAATCCACTCCCTTTATAAATTGTTTATCTGTTCTCGTGTTGCGTTGCCTCGTGTTGCGTTGCCTCGTGCAGTGTTCGTGCTCCTGCCACAAAAATATTGACAAGAGAATATGTCGTGTTTTACTCACAATTATTATCCAGTAAGAAATTTGCTTTGGCATCTGGTTTTAACAAACAATATTTAAAAATGTACAAACAATATAATACTGTGGGTGTAACGATAACACTGTGGGATATAAGGTGAGAGTTAACAAAAGTGTTCAGAATACAAATGAATAATGCATCTGACTCTCACGAGTAAAATGTACACGTACGTCTTTTCGGTGAGTGAGTCGTGAGAGAAATCGAATTTAAGGAAGCTGTAAGCAACTCTGCTTTGGCTCACATTTAGTCGTAACACTCTGTGGCAAACTCTGCTGAAATGAACCTCGTCTCATCTGGGAATCTGACGTTGTTTGTTCTATTTATCTCATACACAAATAGCGTCGTGGGTATTCACATTTCTTGTAAGAAAAGACGTTTAAGTGACTACAGGGGGGAAATCTTCCATATAAGCCTTTTGTTTTCTCATCCACGGATTCATGGTCCATTGGAGCCATCTTATGCACTGTGTTGCTCAATCTCAGGGCTACTTCCAAACAGGGTGACCAGCTGCTCCTCATAGTTAGCAATGTTTCTCTTCATGATGTCCATGCACGGACCCAGCAATCTCTCAAAGGCTTTGACATCCATGACTGAAAAACAAAACACGACGTTGTTTAAAGAGAGTAACATAAAACAATAGGTGGTACAGTGGAACATTAACATGCTGGATTCAACATATAAATGATCATTAAGTACCCAAGCATTTGACGCTCCCCACAGCATACGCCGATGCAGCTCTGGGCTTGTTTGTGACAAGTGCCAACTCCCCAAAATACTGGCCCCTTGTGCATGTGGCAATTTCCACCTCCTCTTCCTCCTGGTCTTTTTTCGTCTAGTAGGAAAACAAAGAGACAATAACATACCAGAAAACATCACACGTTTTTTTACACCTAAAACTTAAAGGGAGACTTTGCAAACATACCCTGCTTCTTTTCATGGTGATTCTAACTTGGCCAGACTCGACAATGTAGAAGGAATCCGCTAAATCCCCCTGTAACACAAAGCATTCATGCAATATTAAATGCGTGGCTATGTGTTTAATAAATGCTCCATTAGAATGAAAAATAAAAAGAGAGCAACTCTTCACCTGTGCAATAATCTGCTGTGAATCATTGTACACCTTGGTGGACAGAACATCTACAACCTTCATTCTCTCAGAGAGCTGTGAATGGACACATATTTGGTTATCAGTGGATTTACTGTGAATGCATTTAGCAGTTTCCTTACAAAAAAGCAAATCTTCTGACCTCTAATGATGTGAGCAGTGGTAGCGTTTCGATGAACGCCTCATACAGCTTTCTCTTCTTGGCGTTATTCTTCACTATGATCCTCCTGAATGTCAGACGATCCTGCCACAGAAATAAAAGACGGTTTCAAGACAATGTAAAAAGAAATACATATTTTACTTGTTCTAATCCTGTGGTACTGCGTTAATGATTTGTGAATGCATATGCCTCATGGGATAAGCGGCATAGATAATGGACGGATGGATGCATGTGATTGATGGAAATATGTAAAAAATCCTATTTTCCAATCAAAAGCCTTTATTATTTTTGATAAGTCCTTTTGAACTAGGAGGCATCTACTGAACATAACATTATAATACAAAGATTATGCATAATGGAATGGAATTCAATTCAATACTGCACTTGTTTTCCCTGCAATTACTGACTGGGTAATGATTCTCTGGAAGCCTTTCACCATATAACTGATATAAATCCACATTTTGCAGTAGGGGTCACTGTTAACCAGATTTTAAATAAGCAGACAATCTCCTGCAAACAAGACGCCACTTATTTCAACCATTCTGATTGTTTCAATGATAAATATTCAGAACTCTTCAGGTTTTAAGTAACTTCTGCAAGAGTATAAGCAGTTAAGACACAATTTTTAACCAGCAGCACAGTAGAGGTTGCCATGGGGCACCTTCAAGCTGACATCACAAAAACAATCCCATCCAAACAAGCCAACACACCTTGTGGTAGGGTAGTCAGAGTCAGTCCTTGTCCTTAGAACTTTGAGTACTCTCGTGTGAATATACGACCAGGCGACCAATAAATTACAGAGCATTTTAATTCTGGGTTTAAATCAGACTACTATAGTGATAGTACTATTCATTCAGAAGCTCCTCAGCAGTGCCATCCTTCATCAACCTGACGGGAATGTTAGTTTAACAGAGCTGGATTATTTTAAACAAGCACAGTACAAGGGCCAAGGTTAACAGGGGATACATCTGCAACCTGCCCAGTCTGCACAGACATGACATTACAAAGAGGTTACTCACATTTTAAAAGGACACAACCTCCACTGAGTCATTAATAAACAAACTGGGATTAAGCAACTGAATATTCAAAACAGCTGTCCTGGCCACAGTTCTTACAGTAGTTTGAATCTAACAACTTAAATCATCAACCTAAATTCACCAGTGGTGTATACTCACAAAAAAAGACACAAACAGATTGTTCATCTGAAAGCTGAGCTCTCTAACTGCACCACAAAATCATTTTAAAAGGTTTAATATATGCATTAATGAACATGTACAATTCCATCCAGGGGCATGACAGGGGACTGCAGTGGATTTTAATCAGTATGTTGTAGTATGTGTCACTATGAAATGACCTCACAAATGATACCCGGTACCAACGCTGCTACAGACAACCTGGGTCTTTACTGTAAATCCTGATGACAGCACAGCGTGTAACAAAAAGCTGAGCATGGAGCAAACTGTGCTCCTGTTCAAGGATTTAACTCACTAGGCACCAAAGGGCTCCAGGCGAGACAGCGATTATGGTGGCTGCCCTGGGGGTGTTGTACATCAGTGCTAGTTCTCCAAAGCTGCCTCTGTTGTCATAGCAGCCGACCAGCTTCTCCATACCATCAACCTTCACGAATATGTTAAACTTCCCACTGAAAGAAAATACAAAAGCAAAATAATAAATCAAGTCTAGTCAGCAAGAAACATTGATTTTACAGAATATTCCAACAATATATTCATTTTCAAAATTACATTTCTCATATCAATGATCTGATTCAAGAGAAAAACATTTCATTTCAAAATGTACCTTTCAAGAACATAAAAGTTGTCCCCGTCATCATGTTGATCAATAATGTGCTCCCCTTCTATGCAGAACTTCTCAAACATGGCATCCAGCACCTGAGACATCTCTTCCTGTGTGGTGGTTACAGAACAGCAGAGCTGAACAAAATCTCAGTACAATAAAAAAAAAGTTTTCAGATTCAATACAAAATTTGGGTTTTATTTGAGGAAACAATCGCACAGAATGAACTCAGCATGCTGTTTCAGCTACTTAAAAATGACCATCTTCATGCATGGTGCACTGAGCTGTGGCAAAAAGCTGCTGGCCTCAGGCCACGCTCTCCTTTGTGTCGTTTAAGAGATGGAAGAGGACAAACTGGAGCACATGGAATAATCCACTCACTGCATCCAAATTCTTGAACAGAAGAATGTCCCTACATGCTTCCTGTAGTCTCTGTCTCTGCTCATCAGTTTTTGGGTGGGTGACCTGCAAAACAGAACACACCTGTGTTGTTGCCCAGAGGGAACTTATACAGAATAATTATTCTGTATAAGTTCATTCACATTCACCGGAAAATGAAAAGTTGATAATTGTGAGGTGGAGCGCAGCCTACCCATGGCTCTTTGTCCTCCTCATCTTCATCAGGATTGAATGCTTCAGCACACACTGCATGACATAAACAAATGACTGTTTAGTTAGACAAAAACGTATTTAACCAACTTAT